CTCACCTTAACTCATCTTAAAAGTTTTATGTCTCTCTCCACACAATTTAGATCTGTTAGGGGGAGAGCTGCTATAACCCTCCCTGTTAGTGTCAAAGAAGGCTGACTTAAGTTTTAGGTTCGGTATGAGTTTTACGGCACTTGTAACATAATAAGGTCAAATAAGCGCTGAAGATCAGAGGTGTTACAAGCGAGTAACAAACACAAAAAAGGTGGAGAGATTACAAGCGAGTGACAAACACAAAAAAAGCGGAGAGATAAGGACGATAGATGTTTGATAGGAAATAAGAAGCAAACCACACCACCAGGGCACAGCGTTCCAACAAAGAGACAGAGGTACATGATAAAATAGAACTTTCCAACATGACACTCACACACTCATCTACAACAGCCGAGAGCCTAATCATTATACAACAGATGCCAGTTTTCCACACCTCCTATCTCTATATTTCATATTATATAAGGATATATATTTTAAAGGAGAAATGCAGTTTTCACATGACTACAATAGCACGCCAGCTGGCAGAAGAAAAAGAAAACATCATGATGCTAGTGTCATCAAAATATTAGCACTGATTATCAACAGCTAATAAGACTAAAATATATCCTTTATGAGAGAGTCAAAATATTTCATCGTTACTTCATCTCTCTTAAATTCATGGCAATCAGAGGTCAAATAAATGTTTATCAGACTCTTACAAAAGGCAACTCAATCTACTTGCTGTGCTGTACACAATATTGTACATGGTATTTCAATACAATAATTTAAACATTTATTATAATAGAACATGGATGATGTGGTTTTACAGCAGGTAGGTAAATATTTGCAAAACTACATAATTATAACAAATTTGATAACAAAACAAACAACAATCAGGTGACATGGTACAGACGAAAAAGATCAACACATTGGCACAGTTCAGAACCTTCATAAGCAGACAGGCGAAAAAATAAAACACCACTGGGAATCATATCTTTCTATAAACATTGACAAATAAGGCAAGTTTAAGACCTTGTGTTTTAGTTTCATCATAAATGACAATATGTAGATCAGTCCTTTGTCCTTTGAGTTCAAAAAGATATGAGAAAAAGAACATATACATCCCTTATCAAGTCAGCAGACTAATAATGTCCATTTTCATCTCTAATAAGACAAAATGTAATTGAAAAAATGTAATCTTTGCTCTTGTGTGACGATAGTATTAGAACTACTTTTGATTTGTTAACTAATAAAGATAAATTATCATTGATTTGTTAACTAATAAAGATAAATTATCATCTCAACCTTTTTTGATTCTCGACTTTTTGATAGAAACATCACTTGAGTGTCCAAATAAGCATCACTGATAATCATGGCCTACTGACAGTAGGGATGTGACATCAAGTTTTCACATTAACTACTTCTTTACTTGAGCCGAGACCAGCTGCCACCATGAATCTGAAGCCGAATTTTCTGACATAAGTGTTTGGAGAAAAGAACCCAGTTATTGGCAAGCTATTTTTGAGGCACAGGCCAAAAAGGTCGTACTGGAGTTAAAAAGTTAGTTGCATCAGAAAACACACATTTAACCATTTCTTAATAACATATTGAAAGGACTTTATTGTATTTTAAGTCAAAATATTTTTTTATTACTTATTTTCGCAATATCTTGTACTTCACAAAAGGTTAAAAATGTGCTAGATATTGGGTCAACATACTAAGGTTAAAGCTGTTTCTCTCTAAACTTTGTTTTTACACCCTGTGTTACAAAATGTGGAATACCTTTTAAAAATACTAAATATATTTGAAAAAAAAAAATCAGCATGTTTAGAATTGAATTTGCTACAATTTCTGACAACTGGGACCTTTCTTCAGGCACACAACATATGTTTCACATAATCTATCTCAACTTAACATTTCAAAGTTTTCACTTGCTTTCGAGTCATTGAAGCCTTACTTTCACCTAGTTACATTTTTGGGTCGTCATAAAATGATGAAGAATGGGGACTCTTAATCTTAAAAACAATTCATTTCATACATGTGTTTGGGCTGGATATGGGAGGGACTCTTAAACACAGCTCTTTACATAAGTGTTCAGGCAGGATGCAGTAATGGGAGCAAATGGCAAGCAGAGGGCTAAGTCAAAAGCAAGTGTGTTCTTATTCACACAGAAGGCAGCTTTAAATAGAAATATACCACAAAAATATACTTTCTCTGTTATTTAGTTGGAAACTTATTACATACATATACACACACTGTAAGCACCACAAAATGAACACAGCCATAAGTCTCTAATCAACTCCGAAGGTTGAGCAAACTGATGGCAAAACACGAGCATCAGATCATACCTCCCCAGGTCAAAAAGATCACATGAGGGCAGTATAAAATACTTCAATAAAGAACAGAGGATGTGATATGCATATTAAAGAAAACCTGATTTAGAAAGTCCACAAAATCCAAAGAACACAGTTGAATCTGATATGGGTAAAGGTAATCTACAGAAGAAAAACTCCCACTAAAAAACCCAAAAAAACCCCTTAAATATAAATAACTAGCACATGTATGCACGAGTGAGGAAACTCAGGCATGGAACCAAAGCCTCTTAAAAAATTACCAAAAACTAGTTTCACCTTGAAAAAATCTCAAGGACCATTATTGACCTAAATGATCCAAGTTTCCCAGTGAAAAAAGAACTCCAGCTGCTTTGTTGACTTTTATTTTTCACACCCCATTCTCAAAACATTTGATCCTTCAGTTTGGTATTTACTTTGTAATCTATTATCTATTCGCTTCATGTTTGGAAATCCAAACCATTAACAACACTAGAGATATACTAGACGTCAGCTTTTTTTTTATCAGTGCAGTAAACGTAATTCCGTAGTCTACTAAATTAAATCTTTTTTAAATGTAGGTGTTTTTACATGCTCATTGAAACAGTTGTACTAAACAGCCTATCAGAGTCTTTTGGATTGAGGATCTATCCCGGAAAAGTCCTAAGGACAGATGCACAAAGAAAGGAGCAGGTCACAATAGAAGGAAACCCGCTAGATGACGTTGAATCTTTCTGCTATCTTAGGAGTATAATTGACAGAGAGGGGGGAACAGGTGCTGAAATAAAGTTCCATATTGGAAAAGCACAGGTGCTTTCATATCTTTGAATAGGATTAGGAAGACCAGAG